AAAGGGCCTAGGGCTAAAGGGATAAAAGCCTTAGGGCAAAAGGGYTTAGGGCTAAAGCACTAAAGCTAAAAGGGTTAGGTCTAAAAGTATTCGCTGTAAAAGGCTTAGATCTAAAGCACTTAGATGTAAAGTGCTAGCTCTGGGCTCATCTAAAGGGCTGGAGCTAAATGCCTGGTGATAATAGGCTTAGGACTAAAGGGCTTGAGTTGAAGGGCCAGACGTCTTGGGCTCAAGCAGCAAAAGTCTAAATGGCTCGAGTTAAAAGGACAGGATTAAAGGACTAGTATTAAAGGGCTAGAACAGGGCTAGGATTAAAGGGTTTGGGCTATGTCTTAGGGTTAAATGCCTTAGGGCTATGGGGCTAAAGGGCTGAGTGCCTTAAGATTAAAGGGATTATGGTTAAAGGGATAAGGCCAAGGTGCTAAAGGCCTTAGGGCTAGAGGAATAGGCCTTAGGGCTACAGGACTAGGCCTAAATAGCTTAGGGCTGAGGGCTAAAAGTCTTAGGTGTATAGGACTTAAGGCTAAAGAGCTAGCGATTAGGGGGTAAATATCTAGGGCTAAAAGGCCTCGGGCTAAAGGGCGAGGTCTTAGAGCTAAAGGGCAAAAGCGATTAGGACTACAGGACTATGGCCAAAGGGAAAGGGATAAAGGGCTAGGACTTAGACCTAAATGGGTAGGGCTGAAGAGAAAGATTTAGCGGTAAGAGRCTTAGGGTACAAAACTGGGACTTAGGTCCAAAGGGCTAGGGCTAAAGTTCTAAAGGACCAGGACTAAAGTGCTAGAGCTTAGGGCTAAAGGGCTTTAGGCTGAAGGGCTTCAGGCTGAAGGGCTTTGGGCCAAAGTGTTTAAAGCTATGTGTAAATGGCTTTCATCTAAAAGGCTACTGTTTAGATAGGGTTAAAGCACAAGGCCTAATAGGCTAGGGCAAAATGGTTAGTGCTAAAGGGCTCAGGTGTAAAGGGCTTGGGATAAAAGGCCAAAAGGCTTAACAGCTTGCCTTAACAGGCTACAAGTACAGGACTAGGATTACAGGGCTAGGATTGAAGGTCTATGCCTGTGACTTAGGGCTAAAGTGTTTCATGCTAAACAGCTTAGGGCAAAGACCTTATGGTTAGAGTGAACGGGGCTTAGTGCTTTAGAGTTACAGGACTAGGGCTAACAGGTTAAGAGCTAAAGATCATKGGGCTAAAGGGCTAAAGTTGAAGTCTGAACGGCTAGGTCCAAAGGCCTAGGGATAAGGGTTAAAGCGGTGAGGTCTAAAGGGTTAGGTCCAAAGGCTTAGGGATGGGGGTTAAAGTACTTAGGTCTGAAGGGAAAGGACAAAAGGCCTAGCACCAAAGTGCTAGAGCTTAGTGCTAAATATAATAGGCCCTGAGCTATAGGATTGTAGGTTAAAGGGCTTTCGGCTAAAGGGCTAGGGCTGAGGTCAAAACTGGTAGGGCCAGAAGACTAAGTCTCTTAGAGTTAAAGGTCTTAAGGCTAAAAGCCTAGTGCTTAGTAATAAAGAGCTATAGGGCTAGGGCAAAAGTGCCGAGCCTTAAGGATAAAGGGTGAGGGCCAAAGCACTAGGGCTAAATCTCTTAGGGCTAAAGGCCTAGTGTTAGCGGTAAAGGACTAGTGGTAAAGTGCAAAATGTTAGGGCTAAAGGGCTAAGACAAAAAGGCTAAAAGGCCAAATGGTGAGTGTTACGCTAGGATTAGGACAGGATTAAAGGGCTTTAGGCTAAAGCACTTAGCGGTAAAAGGCTCAGTGCTCCATCTAAAGGACTTAGGGCTAAAGGGCTAGAACTTAGGGCTATAGGGTGAGAGCTTAGGCCTAAAGGACTAGGACTAAAGGGATAGGGCTTATGGTTAAAGGACTTAGCAATACACCGCTATGGGAAAAGGGTCATAAAGAGCTACAGGTCTAGTTCTAAAGAGCTAAGGGCTAAAGGGCTAAGCTTAAAGTGCTAGAGCTTAGAGTTAAAGGAATAGAGCTTAGGGCTTAAAGAGTTTTCGCCTAAATGGATTTGGACCAAAGGGTTTGGCATTACATCTAAAGGGGCAAGAGCTAAAGGACCTTGGTTAAAGGTTAACAGCTAGGCTTTAAGGGGTAATATATAAATGAGGGAATGAGGGCACAGACTTCGTGAGGGGTGGACAGCAGAATCAATTATATTATATCAGCACAAAGCTTTTATAATCTCTTGTATACTGATCATTCATGACATGCAAGCATTGTTCTTAGCAACAAGCATTTAATTGGTGTTTATTGCAAGGCACTTGTGTCCTTCTCCCATTGGTGCTATTTTCTCGCTAACAACTTTTTTCTTCTTCTGTAGCTTCAGCAAAAGTTAGCTACTTCGCTCAGTCCGGAATATTCCTGCTTTCTTCAAGGATGTGCTGTTTACCCATCTCAGTCTAGGTTTTTTCCATCCTCTTCATCAGAAAGCCACAGCCCTCAGGCCATCAGACCAGCTCTCAGACCCATGTGGCCTTGCCCTACATTCCTTAGTATATGTTTGTATCAATCAGGTCCGTGTAGCTACCACTTAGATCCCCTACATATAAAGTCTCAGATAAAAGGACTAGAATTAAAGGGCTTGGGTTATGGCTTAGGGCTAAAGGGCTTAGTGTTATATAGCTTTGGTCTAAAGTGTTAGGACTGAGGTCTAAAGGGCTAGGGCCAAAGGCGTACAGCTGTAAGGCTTAGGTCTAAAGTGCTAGTGTTTAAGTTTAAAGCACAATGGCTAAGGTGTAGGGCTAAAGTCTACAGCTATAGGGCTAGGGCTTAGGGCTAATGGACTAAAGCATTAGGGCTACAGGGCCAAGTCTGTAGATTTGGAACTAGAGGGCTATTACTTAGGGCTAAAGGGGTAGAGCTAAAGGGAAAGGGTTAAGTGTAAGGGACTTAGGGTACAAAACTAAGGCTTAGGCCCAARGAGTTAAAGCAAAGGCTGTGAAGGGCTAGGGCTAAAAACCTACGACTAAAGTGCTAGGGCTTAGGGCTGAAGGGATAGGGCTTAGCTGTAAAAGGCTTAGTGCTACATCTAAAGGCCTTAGGGTTAAAGCACTTTTGCTTAGGACTGAAGCACTAGGATTAGTGTTTATTGCTAAAGGATTCGAGGACTAGGGCTAAACAGCTGCGAATAAAGGTGTAGGGCTAGGTTTTCAGTCTAAAGGACTAGGGAAAAAGGCCTTAGGGCTAAAGGGTTTTAGTTCTAAGGGCCTTTTGCCTAAAGGGCTTGGGCTAAAGAGCTTAGGACTAAAGGGAATATGGCTAAACAGCTAGAGCTAAAGGGCTAGGGCTAAGAGGCTTAGGTTTATAGGTCATATGTCTAAAGGCCTTAGGTCTAAAGGACTAAGCCTTAGAGCTAAAGGGGTATCTCTTACAGCTAAAGGACTAGAATTAAAGGGCAAGGGTTACAGGGCTAAAGACCTAGGGCTAATGGGGTAGGGTTAAAGGGCTGGGGCTAAAAGGGTTAGGGCTAAAGAATTTAGGTCGAAAGGCCTAGGCCTTAGGGCTAAAGCTCTAAGGCTTTAGGGCTATGGCTAAGGGGCTAGGAGGAAAGGGCTATCAGGCTAGGACTAAATGGCGTGTGGTTACAGGGAAAAAGGCTTAGGGATAAAGGACTTTAGGTTATGGGCTAAGGGTTAAGGTTACAGGACTGGGACTAAAGGGCTGATGCTAAAGAGCTAAGGGCTACAGGGCTTATGGCTAATGGGCTAGGGCTGAAGTCTAAAGGGCTGCAGCCAATGGACTCGGGCCTGAAGGCTTAGGGCTAGTGCTCTAGTGGTAAAGAGCTATAGGGCTAGGGTGAAAGTGCTAGGGCTAAAGAACTTGGGACTAAAGGGATTAGAGTTAAAGGAGACAGGCTAAAAGCCTTGGTTTTGTAGTTCTTATGTCTAACCAGCTTAGGCTGCTGAGTTTGTCTAAACATACTTTTAAAAGCATGTCTAAACATGCTTTTAAAGGGCTAGGGCTAAAGGGCCCTTGCACTTTAAAGGAATCAGAGGATTATYTCCCTTTCAATCATCAGATTTGATGATTTTCTTTCCAAATCACTGTCAGTCTGGTGATCTGTGCGTCTTCATGGCGCATATTGATAGGATCCCATCCCCTTGTCCTGCACCTTCTCCAGGCTGCACAATTCCAGCTCACTCACCCTCTTGCCATGGGACATGGGCATGGATCAGTGCTTGGGAAGTGCTTGCTTTGGGAGGCCTTTGGAATAAAGGCAGGGTTGGGAAGAGAGATTGTCTCAAGGATGTGTGCTGGGGACAGGGCTTGAGGGAGAGCAACCCACTGATAGAGCTGCCTCGTCCCATGTCTTTCAGTGCAGGCCACCAGAAGGGATCCTAGCCTTCTTTTTGGTGCCACCTGTCAGAAGGGAGAATGGCACTAGGAGTTTGTGAAGTGGGAAGCATTAAACCTTCCCCAGCCACTTCCCAGGCCTGGTAGAGAGCCAGGACAGCAAGAATGTCTGGCTCTACACCTTGTCTTCACTTTACTGTAACCATATCTAAGCCCCCCCTTGGATTAAATGTAATCTTTTCTTTCTCTCCAAAATCCTTTCAAGCCAGTCCCATGCTCTTCTGAGGTCTCCAAATCACTCCTCAGATCTCACCAGCCATTCCCACAACACCTCTACTCTATGTTATCTTACTTCATTGTGGAGAAGTGTCCCTACATGATGCTTCACACTCTTACCATGCCAGGCAGATGCTGTTCCAGGAGGGACACATTCTTGATAGCAGCCTTGGAGGAAAAGCCCAAGCTTCAAGCACTGCACTGGGCAGCATCCACTTTATTGCAGAGATACTATGAGGCAGAAAAACTCTGATCCAGCCTTAGACACCATTTGATGTGGGTAGCAGGTGAGACATAGCAGTCTCACGCAAGGTGGAATGAAAACAAGCAACTGTGTAGCAACATGATAACAAATACTATTACTGATACTAGTCCTAATAAAAATAAAGGGAAGAAACAACTGTTGGTGTTGGCATGATGCAGCAGGAGTCATTTGTGGAGAGCAAAAGCAATTTTATCATTGTTGAAAAACATCCATGAAATCACTTTCCTCAGGCCATCCTTGAGTTCCTTGTTCCTCATGCTGTAGATCATGGGGTTCACTGCTGGAGCCACCACCGCATACAGACCAGCCAGCATCAGATCCAGAGCTGGGGAGGAGATGGAGGGGGGCTTCAGGTGGGCAAAAAATGCAGTGCAGACAAACAGGGAGACCACGGCCAGGTGCGGGAGGCACATGGAAAAGGCTTTGTGGCGGCCGGGCTCAGAGGGGATCCTCAGCACAGCTCTGAAGATCTGCACGTAGGACAGCACAATGAAAACGAAACACCCAAACATTAAACAGGCAGTAACCACAATAAGCCAAATTTCCCTCAGGTAGGAATCTGAGCAGGAGAGCTTGAGAATCTGGGGGATTTCACAGAAGAACTGGTCTAGGGCATTACCATGGCAGAGTGGAATGGAAAAAGTGTTTGCAGTGTGCATGACAGCATAGAACAAACCACTGGCCCAGGCAGCGGCTGCCATTTTCACACAAACTCTGCTGTCCAGGAGGGTCCCATAATGCAGGGGTTTGCAGATGGCAACATAGCGGTCATAGGCCATGACTGTGAGGAGAGAAAACTCTGCTGACACAAAGAAAAAGAGGAAAAAGACCTGGGCAGCACATCCTGAGTAGGAAATGGCTCTGGTGTTCCAGAAAGCATTTGCCATGGACTTAGGGACAGTGGTGGAGATGGAGCAAAGGTCGAGGAGGGAGAGGTTGAGGAGGAAGTAGTACATGGGGGTGTGAAGGTGGTAGTCACAGGCTATGGCTGTGATGATAAGGCTGTTGCCCAGGAGGGCAGCCAGGTAGATTCCCAGGAAGAGGAGGAAGTGCAAGAGCTGCAGCTCCCGGATGTCTGAAAATGCCAGGAGGAGGAACTCGTTGAGGGAGCTGCTGTTGGACATTTGCTCCCTCTGAGCAGAGGGCACTGTCCAGGGAGGAAAAACAGTGACAAGTTAGGAGAGATTTTCCTGATCAAAATGTTTTCTATTCCCCCACCCCTCCCCGATACTTCCCAAACACATCCGCACACACACAAGCACCACTTCTCACCTTCTCAGCAAGGCTTTGTGTTTGGAGCTCCAGGTCTGCTTTTTTTGTCTGCTTATTTTTTGTGTCTGGAGCTCCAGGTCATACTCTCTGAATTCTCCAAGAGTCAGGCAGAGAATGTGACATCATAGCGCATGGTGCTGCTGATCAGGACTCTAATGTSGCTCCGCTACAGACAGAAAACACACCACCAGTTTTGAAACAAAGACATACAGCACTTATCTCAGTTGCCCATACACAGCCACCCCAGCAGCATTCCCATATCCTTAGCCCTTCTGTGGCTTCTCCATGGCAATTTCAACGGTCATGAATGTCCTACAGAAGAGCTATCCCTCTCCACAGAGCAGCACACAGCCCAACAGCTCACCCCAGCAAGGCACAAGGGTCTCAAAGGTGGCCTTTCCTCAAGGACAATCAGTTCTTTCCCCAGCCCCACAGACCGTGCTGCTTTGAGCCCCAAGGACTAGAAGGATCTTCATGCTCTCCCTTCATTGGCGACACCTCTGCAGAAGCAACCACAGGGTCGACATCAGACTCTAGCTGTAAATCTCCTTCCCAGAAAGGTCACACAGACCTTATTCTACTGTGGTCTCAACTCTACCCTACAGAAACTTCCACACAGAAGGATACTGCCCAGCAGCATCTTCCATTTTACAGACGCTAAGGAGTAGATGAGAAATTCCTGATGTGACTGGCCAGGTGATTCTAGTGCAATCTCTAGGCTGAGTGATGGTAAAGGCACCTGCAAACCTCCTCATCCTTCCAGGTGTTGGTAAAGATGCTGCATGTCCATTCCCATCATGCAGCAAGAAGTGCTCTGCAAAGCTCCACCATGAAAATGCCCTCATAGTGATCTATGCTCATATCATAGTGATATGAGCAGCCCTGACACATGCAGCAGCTTCTCGGGGGGGGAGGGCTCTCCTTCCATGTAGAGCTGCTCCCCCAGTACCGTGGGAAGCTCCTGAGCAGGCTGAGTGCTGACCCTCACAGGCAGCCAAGACACTGTCCAGGGCACACAGCACCCTGGGGTGTAGGGACACTGCTCTGTATTACAGCCAATGCAGACCTGTGTGCATACCCAACCTCACACCCCTGCAAAGTGCCTGGGAGAAGGGAGCAGTATTCAGTATTCCCGTGAGAGTGGCAGGGAATCCCTGCCCTGAGTCATCTCCTCCTCCTCTACAAAGGAGAAACCCTGGAGTGAAACCCTGGAAATCAAATTTTGTGACTAGATGGGTACAGAAGACCCCTCCAGGATGCTCAGCAACATTGCCCTGCAGTCAGAGACCCACCGTGTAAAAGGCTGTGAAGATTTTGTCAACAACAAGCTCTGCTCTGCACTCCCACTCCACACTGCTGTTCACATCTCTGCCTTCTCTCCTCTGCTGTGCGCAGCAGCAGGCAGTGCCCGCAGCCCTGCTGCCCTTGGCACAGCAGCTGCTCCTGCACACAGTGTCTCTGGGCAGTGCTGCCAGGTTGCCACGAGCTGCCTCTGTCCCAGGAGCCTGACCCTGCTCAGGAGCAGAGACCCAGATGAACGCATCCCCTTCTCTCTCCCTAGTGCTCCCTCCTCCTGGGAAAAGTGCACTTCAACAAGCTAAAATAATCACTTGTTGTTGTTTCCAAATTAGTGCAGAAAGACAGATTCCAGTATTGTAATATATTCCATGTGAGGATGACTTTTTATGTAATTTGGAAATGTCCCATTCTGGAAGCCCCATTTTACATCCCTTAACTGGACAGGAGACTGAGAAGCTGTTCCAGATGGTTTCAGAGTCCAGCAATTGAAAGCACACGCACTGAGAGCAAAATCAACCCCTTGGTTTATTTAGGACAATTCACACTAACAACACACTAAAGCAAGACAACCACTTAGCAACTGCCTGCGACATGAGGCACCTACCAAGCAATTACTTACGAGAGTATACTCGTCAKCAGGATAGTGAGACCGATCRCTCCCCTGCCATRGACAAGAGGTGCCTGGCAGGCTCCAAGCTTGCGGGCGTACCCACAGAGACAACGTAGGTCTCGGTTGGAAGTCTCCCCCCCACCTCCGATCCATGATTATTTTTTATATCTGGTGCGTCCTGCCACATAGGGCCCCTACGTGTCAGGAGGCGACCAGAGGGTGAGCAAAGCTCCACCTTTTTCGTTACGCAACCGTACCCCGTGTGTGCATGCACGCCCACCAGTGGGGGGTCTCTGGTCTCGTTATGAGGGTCCTGCCTTCATCACCTTCCTCTCCCTTGTCTCAGGTTTGACCTCCAAACTACCTTAGAGGTTGGCTGTGTTTGAGTTGGCGCCATGCCTTCTGGCACGGTCGCCTCCAAATTCCTCAGTTGCTCCTCACCACCAGATAAGGCCCCTGTTTTTGCGACTGTGTAGCCACCTTCAAACTCCCTACAACCAGATAACAGCTTAGTTCTCAGCTTCAAAATAGTCTCAAGGCCTCTACAGATCATAAGCAGGCTATGAATCGTTCCTCCTCATTCAGGAGAGGACAAGTGGAGAGTTCATTGACAGACACATGGTTCAGGTGCTGATTCAGAAATAGGAATCTGGGCAGGTCCTGCCTAGGACTGGGTCTGAAGTTGTATTCAGATCCCTCCTGTAAACTCCACAAACACATCGGTGGTGGGATTCCCATTGCCAAAACAAAAGTGAGCAGAGCACAGAGATTTGCACATGAGCTCCATCAAAGCTCCACTACAGTCCCTGGAGATGGAGGGTGAGAGTCAGTAGCTCCCCCTCAAACATCTGAGGACAGTAGCTCCTGCTCAAACACCTTGAGGAGCTCCAAGAAATGTGCTAGCACCTGCTTGCTCTGCTGGAGCTACTGGGAGACCTGCATCCTGCTAGATCATGAGTTGGTGTCCAGGTGGGAAATTGCCTTGGCCATCTGAAATGAACCCAGGTGCCAACTGCAATGAGAACCCCACACCCGATGAGGGTGAGACATGGGAAGATTCCAGGATTAACCAGCAACTCTTGTAATTCAGTGCAGARCCTTGATTTGACGGCACAGAAAAGTGCTGGCAGGGCCTTGTCCGATGCCTGGGGTGTCCAGCACAATCACATGTCTCTAGCAGATACAGCAGGGGACCTACAGGAAACCTTGACCCCTTGAAGCGATTGCTGGGTGAGTGCTCCAGGGCATCCTGCATGAACTTCTGTTCACCCCACCAGATGAACTGGGAACTGGTTTCTGCATGGGAGAGCAGGCGACCTCTATTTAGTACAGAAAAGAAAGTGTCCCCTTGTAAGAATTGTGGGGTTTCTTGCTTTGTGGTCTTTGTAATCTTTATCACTCTTTTTTCTTTATCACTCATTGTAGGACTGCGTTAGCATCCACTAAGAAGGAGACAGGCACCCAGACTGAGCAGCTGCTCAAGTATGCTACCGTCCAGGTGTTTGACTGCAAGGAGTGCCACAGCCTGACACTTCTTATGGACGACCTGGGGGAGGGCACCTGTGTGAGGTGTGAGCAGGTGGAGGACCTGTTTAGCATGCTAGCTGAGCTAAAAGATGAGGTTGAAAATTAAGGAGGCTCTCTAGGTCAGAGAGGGAGAAATGGGGGCAGGCACTAGGAAGGGCCCAGCAACATGTTGCTACAGGTTCCATCCCCCAGCCAAGACAAGAAGAAAGAAAACAGCAGAGGAATGTATGGATAAAAGTCCAGGCTCAAGGTGGCAGGAGAAAACCTTCTCCCATCTCACCCTACAGGGTATCCCTGGCCAACAGATATGAGGCCCTGAAGGAGGTAGGGAAGTCAGTGCTGGGTGAGGAAGTGAGTCCCTCCCCCCCGAAAAAGGTGCTACAGTCAGAAAGGCAAACTGTACTGGTTGTCACCATGGGCAGGAGGGAGAATAGATGAATTATCGTTGTAGGAGATTCCCTTATTCATCAAACAGAGGGTCCAATAACTAGACTCAACCCTACCTTAAGAGAGGTCTTTTGCCTTCCTGGGGCCCAGATTAGGGATGTCACCAGGTGACTTCCCAGACTGATTCACCCCACAGACTATTCTCTGATGGTCCTACATGTGAGTGGAGAGGAAGCAGCAACGCATAGCCTGAGGGTGATCAAAAAGGACTTTAGGGAGCTGGGCGGATGATCAGAAATACAGATACGCAGGTCATTTTCTGTTCTGTTCTTCCCAGTGCTGCCAGCAATATAGAAAGAAATAGCAGGGTACAGTCCATTAACATGTGCCTCCGTGGCTGATGTCCTTATCATAATATYGATTTCTTTGGTAACAGGAAGCCATGTAAGCACCAGGCATGATGGTATCCAATGGGATCCATCTTTCTCAAAGCAGGAAGAGAGTGCTGGGTCAGGAGACAGCAGGGCTCATCGAGAGAGTTTTAAACTAGATTCAAGGYGGGAGGGGAGATATCAATGGGGCAGCAGACRAGATGGTAGCAGATGGCCCGTTATGCCACTCACAGTAGCCTAGTGCCACGGCCTGTGAAGGGCACTCTGGAACTGAAGAGGCCAAAGGGCAAAATCTGATAACTTCAGATTACACATGGTCCCACATAGTCAGGTTGCAGCTGTCCAAAAAGGAGGAAAGGCACCTTGGGAGCCCCACTCAAATGCCTCTACATAAACATACAAAGCATGGGGAATAAACAAGAGGAACTGGAGATGCATGTGTGATTACAGGGCCATGATCCCATTGCAATTACTGAGACATGGTGGGACAGCTCCCATGACTGGAATGTGGCCATGGATGGCCTTAGGCTTTTTAGGGAGGACAGGCCAGGAAGGCCAGGTGACAGAATTGCTCTTTACCTGAGAGAGCAACTTGAATGTATAGAACTCAGCATGGGAGAGGGTGGAGTGAGGGTAGAGAGCCAGGGGGTGAGGATTAAAGGACAGGCCA